ATCAATGCTAAATTCAGTGATGAATGCGAATACTACGTTGATCCATCTCGATTGGAAAGACGTGCGAATGTGATGAAATTAATGAATTTTCTTGCTCTTCTAGGGATGAACTTCGATGTGTTTTAAATTCCGCGATTGAACTTATTGAATTAGGTGGTTTAGATAAAAAAAAATTTTAATCATTCTTTAACTTGTTCTGATTGAGGATGACTAATATCTAAAATTATTTGTTAAATTTTTAATTTTAATTCATAACGATATCAGCTGGCTAATTATGTTCTTAATGATGATTATATTAATGAAGGAATTATTAATATATGAATTTTTTTGCTTTGTAGTCCTAGTTTGCATAATTTTAAATGTTTGTTGTAAGTATTTTTTCAAATTGTTGTTTTTCTGTTTTTGGAATTTTCATGTAGAAAAATCAGTGAGGTTTTCACGAAGAAATGAATTCAATGAACAGTTTCGAAGTATACATCATTCGATTCAATTTTCGACGCTGATGTCGATTATGATATTTGTATTGCAGAAAACATGAGTTCTGATGGAGAAAATAGAGAATTACGATTTTTTTCTCTGCTGAAGGAAAAAAAATGAAGATTTCTCAGTTTCAAAACAAAATGAAAAAGAAAGCGATTTTAAGATTGGCTTAATAGCACGGTTCTGACGAAGGACAAAAATCGACTTCATCTCTTCACACAAAAAACTAGATTGGTTTGCAAAATTCTTTAGGGGCGTTTCACACGCGAAGTTCAAGTTGTCCATACCGGATAGACCTTTGACTTCGATCTTGATCAAGCATCATTCTCATACTCAGTTTTTGATGCTGAATCTGAAAAAGTTGCTTTCGGAAAGTTAGAAGTACGAAAAAGAAAAATTGAATTTTTCTGAAATTAAAAGGGTTTTCAAAACCCTTTTAAGGGTTTTTTAAACTCTTCTAATTTTTTCAGCATTTCAAAAGCTTTTTTTAAAGATTTAAAACCACTTTTTCTTACTCATAAGGGAAGGCCAACTTTCCAGAAGTTTTTGGCCCAAAACTTAGTGGACAATAGGTAATCGAGTGTCCTGATTCCGAATATTACATTGGTTTAGGCCCAATTTTAGTTTAAAGATCCGTTTTTTGAAATACTGGGTTTTGGGGTCGAAAAACCATTTGCAATAAAAAAAATTTTTGATCCGTGAATATGGAAGAGCATATCGCGAAAACCACATAAAACTGTTTCTCAAGGTTTTAGAGGAGGTTTTGAGCGGGTTTTGAAAGACTAAAACTTAAAAGTACACTAAGGAAAACGCGTTTTCGCACTTATGCGTTTTGTGCGATAAAAATACTCTTTCTAGGTTATCGAACGTGCCAAATTCGAATATTCCATTGTTTTCAGTCCTTAGAAGAGAAAAAAATAGCGTATATTTATATCAAAGTTACACGAAAAGCCGAATATTCTAGAGTTGATGTACTAGACTGGAAAACTGGGGATAGATGTAAGCGATCACAGAAAATAAAGAAACCAAGAACTAACACTGGGGAAATTCCTGATAGAAAGAAAGAGAACGAAAAGAATTAATACTGGGGAAATTTCTCATAGAAAGAAAGAGAACGAATATACATATGTATATGTATGATACCTATCGTACAATTCTCTCTTGTGGCACGTCTTTAATATGTGCCATAACACAATAATCTTCAGAAAAGCGAAAGAAACTAGTACTTGTATAGTTTTGACCTAATGCCATTTACATATTGTTCTTTTCCTCTTTCTTGTAGCAATATATTACTCACGTTCGTTCCCTCGATTTTATCAACATAGCACTTTTAATCCTCGATTTCCTTAGTAAAACCGTTTTGTATCAAACTATTGTCTCCGTCAAATCTTTAGCTCTTCTAAGGACTGAAAACAATAGAATATTTGAATTTGGCACGTTCGATAACCTAGAAAAGAGTATTTTTATCGCACCAAACGCATAAAGTTG